AAAAAAGTAACTTGTGATTTTTGCTGGAGCCCCAAAACTGGCGATTTTGTTGATAAATAATTTTTTTTATTACGAAAATGCTTTATACTATTGAATAGGTATTGTCCGTTGGCTAGATTGTGTCCAAAAGCCAGCTGGTGATGGAACTGGGACTGGGGAATACACCCTAATGGTAAAATTGATGGAAGAAAGGGGGGAAAAAATCTCATCCATAGTTTTGCCATCCACTTTTTTCTGTTTAAATCTGCCCTATTGAAAAAAGACAAACTGCCATCTGGCAATATTCATTAGTAAATGCAATTAATTAACATGTGCACGGCTATGTCACATATGAAAAGGAAAAGGTTGGTTTTGGAAGGGGTTTCTATATTTTACATAGTTTTGGACCCTAGTTGCTGTGCCTCCTACCTGATTAATTGGTTTCAGGGTATGAATCACGAGGAAGAAAGAGACAGAGCCTTACTACAAACCCCCAAAAGTCCCAAATCATGCCAAGCCTCTAAAAATCATCCATGGCTTAAAAAAAAGCATACAATTATTTTAATGCTGTTTTGGGTTCCTTTTTTAGGTAAATTGGTTTTTGAGATTTTTTTAAATGGTTTTCAAGCTTACCTCTGCCATTATGAGGGCTAGAAGCCAACTTAAAAAAATTAAAAACCTGAGATTTCTCTTAGCAGGTTTAAAATAAAGGGAAATATTTCTTCACACAATGCACAGTAAACCTGTGGCACTCCTTGCCAGAGGGTGTTGTGAAGGTCAGGCCTTTAACAGGGTTTTTAAAAAAGAGCTCGATAAATTTATGGAGGATAAGTCTGTCAGTGAATAGCTCCATAATGCATTATTAGTCAGGATGGGCAGAAATGGTGTTCCTAGCCCCTGTCAGAAGCTGTTTACCTGTTCTATTAATTTCTAGAATATTGGCAACACTGAAGACGTTGGAAGCACTTGCTTCCCAAAGTGTATGTTGTCTCCTCATAAGGGTACCCTGGCTCATGAGATGCTGTTAGAGTACAACAGCTTTTCCAGCTACTGCTCCTCTTCATGAATTCATGTTGCAGTTCTGGCAGGCTGGAAAACATGGGAGAAGCATGACATAGTAACAGCATAGTAGCTGGAGACTTAAAAAAAATCATACAATACGATGATAATTCTCTTTGCCGGGGCTCTACCTGCATTTCTTAGTTGAAGGTTGTGAAAGCATTTGCTCTGGTGGCAGAGCAGACAGACAGAGTCTGCAGATAGTGGATGAATTCCTAGATTTTTGTGAAAGAGCACAGTACAGCTGACGTGTTTAATTTCTGACAGTGATGAATGTGGGGTGGACTATTAGTGCCAAGCTGAGCAGAGGACTTAAATCACACTTGCATCTAAGAGTCTGACTCAATATTCCAGTGGGATACTGGAACATCAGGTGAAGTCCCAGTTCCAATGAATATGGAATTAGTTGAAAACAAAGTGGTGCAGAAGCAACCAAGTAGATTGAGTAAAGGCCACCTTACAATACCTGATTGCCTGTTGGCTAGGGTAGTCTGCTGGACTGTGCTATACCTGGTATCAAGTCCCTGCTCCACATCTGACAGAAGGACTCAAAGCTGGGTTTTCCGCATAGCAAAGCATGCCCAGACTACTGAATTATTGGGCAAACTAGAAGGAGCTGATGCTTTCCCTCCGCAACACATTGCCTCTCACCAGCTCCTCTCTTCTATTCTGTGGCTTGCACTGATGACCTAAGGCAATGGCAATGGAGAGAAGAGAGATGCTGCTGCCACACCTATGGGTCTCTGGCCACTCAAGAAGGGATTAGCTGTTGCATTATATTCTGTCTTTTTGTTCCCTGCTACTCCTCCAAAATCTTCCTTTCCAGTGGGAAAACCTGTGATTAACTCCAGCAGCACAGATGTTTCAGGACTCTCATAGCACCAGGAAGCTGTCAAGTAGGTGATGGGTCTCCTGACTTCCTTTCAGCATGCAGCTGTGTACCCTTTCCCCCAGCCAATGTAGAATTCTCTGTCTATCAATGGACACCTGTGCCCAGGTCCTTAGGGGCAGAGTGGTGGGAATATATTTGAACTTTACAGTCTTCCTTATACTACCATAGATCTTTCAATCTCTTCTGGGTTTTTCTAGAGGCAAGAGAATAAGTCCAAATAATTATATTAGATAAAGCTAACCTATTTCTCTCCTATAACAATCTGCTGGACATGTGATAAAATGTGGCACAAGAGTGAAGGATGTAAGGGGAAGTACAACGAATGACGAACGGCACAAGAGTGTTTAAGAGGACTTGGCAGATCTCGGCACAGTAGAGACACTTTGTACAAGTGGAAAGTCTGGATAGACACTGAAGTTCCTATAGGTGTCATAGCCCTGTTTTATTCAAGCCAATATATGTTGCCTTTTGGGGTTTGTGCTGATGGTTGAAGCTGTAAAACTTTAAGACACACAGACAAAATTATAACAGTAATGTCCTTTCCCACTGGCTTCTGCCATTTCAACTGAGCTTATGAAAATCAATGGGAATATAATAAACTGTTAGCACCACCCAGTTACGTACTTTATCCCATGCATCACTTCACTACAAAAATCTAATCCTGCTCACACTGAAATCAATGACATAATTCCTATTGACTGAATTCATAGTGCTAGAAACTTAGATTCAGTTCCAGTAAACTCTAATTCATTACTCTAGCAACCCAAGTTTCTGAACATTCAGGTCATTCATTCAAAGTTAAAAGTGAGTTTTTTCTTCAGCTCCGATTGTGTTCCCTTTCCATTCATTTGCCAAGAGCATTGTGATATTCTCACTTAAATGTGCCCAGCAAGCAAATATTTAGGCATGTACAAGCTTCAGAATTCACATCTGAAGTGATATCCCTCACATAGTCACAGAGGGTCAGGGTTCTGCCATCCACTCACCAGTGCCCTGACACAGAGGCAGTGAAAGCAGGCAGGCTGGGGTCTTACAGCTCCCTTAGCAACGAGCATCACACTTGCATACACAATTACTGTGTGCTGTTGGTGAGAGGAAGGAACACATCTCTGCATGCAATGTGCTGTGGACATTTTATAATCAGAGTAATACCTGATGTAGCTGGTGTTCGGTTTTTTCTAACCTTTGCACAAACACAGTAACCACAGCCAAAACACTGGCTGTGGACTTGGCCAAGACGACCACATCTGCATATGCATAGAGGAATGAACATTTAATTTTCTTTCATCAAACACCACATATGGCTAATTTTTCTAGGAATGATGCTTCAGGCAAGGCTTGTGTGAATTAAAGAGTTCATATTTTCTAAAATGACCTCATCAGTATATCTGCTACTCTTTCTGCATGGCTCCCTCTCCCTAAAATACTCATAGTCACACTGACTTTGTCAAAAGCTTTGCCAATGTGAATCTTTCCACTGAATTTAATGGATATTGGGCTGTGCCAATTGAGAATTTATGCACATTATTTTCTGGGCATATAATGTGTATTACCACCACTAAGTTCCATGTTCTTCAGCTTCTTACAGCCATTCTCACAAATTACAGTAGCCCATAGTCTGTCCAGTTACATCAGGAACTCTAACCCAATCTACAGCCACCTCAGCACTGACGAAATATGAGGGAGCTGTACTAGCTCTAAGACATAGCTAATAAGGATCTGGGATGTAGAATCCAGAGACCAGAATCATAGAGATTATCACACACAAATGTCACTTTTTTCCCCCTTCAGGAACAAACCATTTGTGGAAGTTCCGCAGTTGGTAATTAATTAAACTCCATTCACAGAATTTCATAGGTAGAATCTGTTAACAAATAAAGAACTATGCTAATTTCCTAGTCACTTGGGGAGAGGCAGGGGAAGAGACTCCCAAATGAAAAAGGACAAAAATCAGCAGGGAAAGAAAATTTATTTCCAAGCTTCTACGAGAGAGCTACAAACAACAGAGACTAAAAACCAAACACTTAAAACTATTTAACTATTTTAAAAAATTTAGTCGACAACGTCCTTTCTTAAAAAAATTAAACATAAATGTAGAAAATGCAATTATTAATTCTAAACCTTGCCCAATAGTGAAATAAAAACACCAGTGATAAAGATGGAAACTTGCCAGTAGTTTTATATTTTTCTATGTTAATTTGTAAATTGCTAATTTCTATTATTATTTAAATTTATGTTGGAGAAATGTGCAAATCTAGCAAAATATTCTTTGGATTATAAACATAGAAAAATCAATAAAATCAACAACCAAGGAAATTTGAACCAAGTTAAGAAGTAATAAACTATAGAATTATATAGAATGGATATGCATATAATAAAGTGAAATATTACAATAAAACACTTTATAATGAAGTTGCTCCTTCAGCAAACTGAAATAGGGCTATAATGGGAAAAGTGAATATTTTATGACTATATGCCTGAAAATACATATTTTTTAATTTTTAATAGTTAGATTTAAATTTAAATACATATGGGGATTTCAGTTAAGGAATACATTAAAAAAGTAAGATTTCCTCTAAGGTTATGCAGTTTGGTACCTAACTGCAATTCAAGGTTGGGATTTCTAAAATTAAAGATGGAAAAATTTATATCATTGCTATTTATTGCCTCTTTTCATATTGCATTTGCTGATCTCTGACCCTTACCAGAAAACTATATTAAATTTAGCAGAATTACAGCTGTGAACAGATGTTGAAAATGTTGATGCACAGAACATATTTTGATCCCTTGCCCATTCCAAACTAATATAAAAAAAGGTTATAGATCAATTTTATTAGATTAAAAACATACATTACAAAGACCAACTCTGAAAGTATTCACTATTTCATGTATTAAAATTAAAATGTCTTGTTAGCTGTAGATGAGGCAATTTCACTGAAGTAAACTAAAAACATTTCTAAGTGCCAGAACCATAATTAATGTTCAGGTAAGGTAATTGCCAGGTAGAACAGTATTTAAGGAATTTTTAGCTAAAGTGGGTCAGATTTAAGTCTTTTGCAACTCACAGAGCTTAGTAAGGATATTATAATTAACAAATGTGGAGTAAACTGTAAGTACAGCTTACTTCCATTCATGTATGAAGTTGTTTAGGAGATCCATGGAATTTCTCGGCTATAAGATAAATGCATATTACATGGGAAATATTTAATTTACTCCCAGAACACACTAACTTTGGTTGAAAAGTGTTATTGTATTCTGGGAGCAGACACAAGCTGTAGATAGAGAGGGTACAAAATGTTCACCAGACACTACAGATTCTTATCTAAAAACATTTGTAAAACATCTTTGATTTTAAATAATCACTTAACAAGGCAATAAACCAACTACAAACACATAATAAATAGGGATATTAAAAGATCACAATTGTAGTAAATTAGTCAGAACTATAAATGGAACATTAGAAACACTACATGTTTTCTTAAATGCTTAATAACCAAAACAAGAATTAAAAAAAGAATCATTTTATTTCAAAGTCTGCTTCTTATATTGAAGCACATATTAAAGCAACAGTACAATGTTCATAAAATATAAGTGTGATGCTGTAACATTTCTTACATGTCAGAATACTGGTATTTGTATGTATACTAAAATAAGAACTTTAAAATTGTACAAATAGATACATTAAAAATGACATAGAAATAGGGCGCCTCCCACTGCAACAAGACAGAGTTTTATATCTGGCACGTATTAGTTCAAGATGAAAGTATAAGCAAAAAGATTTACAAGAATCAGCAGTAACAAGTTTGATGCTCAAGAGACATTATAATTGTACATTGTACTGTACATACACCATATGGGTTTAAGCTGGCTGAATATTATATATTTCAAGTTTAAAAATGCACTACATATAAGAGTGTCCATAGTTTAAGGCGAAATTACAGCTCAGAACTGTTATCTTTTTTCTAATGTGTGGAAGCTTCTTTGACATAAAAGATCTAGATGTTCATAATACAGAAAAGATTTCCCTCGTTTGTATGTTCCCTTTTAGAATTTTCCTTCACTTAAATATTTTGTACTTCACAAGTGGGTTTTTCGCTAGTGAAGTTGATACTCAACTTCTATATTTTCCTTTTGTAAGAAAAGGTACTTCACAGTATTTACCACTTTTCTGTCCTTTTTATTATTATTATTATTATTATTATTAATATTAATAAAGGAATCCTCTTTGTCAAACTTAAATGTTTAAATGAGCCTTTCCTTGATTTTTAAAAAAATACCTGCTTACATTTCTTCTGGATTCTTCAAAACATCAGACACAGTTCTTAAGGCCAAATTTGTAACTTTATCGTTAAGAATCATCATCAAAAGTGTCTTTGGAGCCATACAAGTCTGCTAGTTTCTTAAAACGAGGTCCCCAGTTTTGTAGATAGTCATAGTCCAAATCAGAATCTGTTGTCGCCGACTCTAATGAGCTAAGTGAACCAGCCACTGAGCCTCTTCCTTCGTAGCCATAGATCTGAATGGAGTCATAAGGAGGAGCAGTCGGATCATTATCAGCCTCTTGTATTCTTGTGTTGATGAAATCATCAACATCCACACTATTAGGAGCTGGCCGAAGCCCTGGTCTTGGCATATACTGATACTCAGGTTTTATGTCTTTCCGAGGAATAAACCCATTGATGCCATCCGGGTTCTGCAAAGTAGCAATGTCAAAGGCTTCAGTGTCTTCCTCTCCACCCCCTTCATCATCATAAGTGATAATGTTCTCTCTGACATCTTCTTCTTCAAAAACAATTAATGGTTCTTTCTTCTGCCTTTTCAGTGTTACAAATAACACAACAATAACTACAGAGGAAAAAAAGCAAGAGTGTAAGTTGGGCTAATTTCCAAACTAACGCTACTTTTATAAATGCTTAGCAGGTTTCAGAGACCTATCTATGGGAAAGTTTACTCAGTAACTAAAGGATATCACATTCTAATTAAAATTATGTCATGTACTATTAGATGCTCTTAATGGCTGGGACATATAAAGTTTAGATACAGATGGGATATTTCCCTAGATCGAGATCAGAGGGTTTTCAAATCCAAGGTTTTGAACCAGGCCCAGGTTTCTGGGATACCAATGCTTTACTGCATGCTTACTTTAAGGCTTTTATTTGGAAACCACATGGATGGACTCCTAATAGACACTGATCTGTTATTGCATGCAACACCAACTATGCAGAAAAAAGGTGGACCTGCTTCAGATATGAAGCCCTATCAGCTATAAGACTGAAAGGCAGAAATGAACATTTGCTGTCCTGCAATACCCAACCTGAATTCTAATTCCACACCCTGCTTCTGCAATGAAACAGGAATTATTCTTGTCCCAGATTTCAATAACTTCCTTTTCATAACATGAATAGAGGAAGACAAACGTGACTTTTTGTCCATCACTCATTTTTTCTAAACTATCATGAATATTTAAAAGTAGATGACCCCAGAACAGCATATTTATGTATGGTGTTTTACTGCTCTTCTATTCTAAGGTCTTTTAAAGTCATCAATTTGTTTTTATTTCCCCTTCAACACTAGGGAAATTAGAGTCAAAGAGCTGGCATGACTAATTATTCCAGGCTGAGCTCAATAAGCAAGGTGTCATCCAGCAAAGAGTGCGAAACCAAAAACTGCGTATCATGGAATTAGTATCATTCTCTGCACAGAGTATTTTACCTGGTTTAACAAGGGCCTCAGCTCCAGCAAAAGGAAGTGAAGAATACCAAATATGAGTGGAAAATACAGTATTTCCAATGTGGCCAACTCAAGAGTTAATATTGCAATGTAATCAAAAAAACATAAATAGGCAGGGAACTTTTCTTACCTAACAAAATCACAATGCAAGCGAGAATGGCAATTAAAGCTCCAGTGCTAAGTCCAGCATTGAGGATGTAAGCTTCAGCATTACATGAGAGCAAGGAACCATTGCTGTCACAGCCACAGACTCTAATAGTAAGTGTATTGGTGCTGCTCATTGGAGGGACTCCACCATCGCTTATTACAATAGGAAGAAGGTATAAATCCTGCTTTTGTCGACTAAAGCCGCCACGTCTAACAAGAATACTCACTGTATTATCTGTTTAAACAAACAAGACAATCTCTGATCATTCAATTTCTTTTCAGACTTACCCACTTCATAAATATTGAGAAATGACATTTTGCTACAATTGCTTTGACCATTTTATTGCTGTATTTACATACAGTAAATTGATTGTCCCACTTTTAATGACACATGAGAAATTAAATATAATTGTTCCTACATGCGGTACTGCACTATTTTTTTAGGGCAGGATATGGAATACAAGGGGTAGAATGTAGTCCTGCCCTTTTGGGTTGCATTTCACATTCTTTTCCTGCATTACTGTCTTTACAATTTTGGCATATTTGTGTTCACCTTTTAATTATCTTTCATAAGGGAATGCAGCACTACAAAAACAATCAAAGCATTTATTGATAAGGCAATGTTAAAAAAATGGTTGCAAATACTGCTGAATGCTTAGATTATTTGGAATATTTACAGTGGTAATTCATGTTTTCTGCATGAGTGGGTATTTGCTAAAACAGTATGTGTGACCAAAAAAATTCAATCATGCAAACTATTGATGCTAATTGTGATGCTCAATATCAAACCAAGCAATAATGGACCCCATAGCACAACTCACAATACTACGCACTATGCCAAGTAGCAAGCCTCTGCAGAATTGGGCCTTGACATTACACTTATGCTGATTCTGGTCCTGACCCAAAGCCAATGGAGTCAGTGAAAAGCAAGGCTCCCGCTGATTTCAGTGAGCTTAGGATCAGGTCCTTTGTGCTCAGGCTATCTCCATGTGGAATTATAATGATTAGATTTTATATAGATTTGATCAAAAATATTCTTATATGAGTGCAAGTCCCATTGAAATCAAAGGAAAATGTACACAATACATCAGGGCAGAATTGGTCCCTGATATTCCACACGTCCCTTTCATTGGAACATATTTAAATGAGCAATATTTCCTTACCACTCTTTGATCCTAGAAAGCTTAACAGTATATATTAATATAAGATGCTTCTTAGCATATGTGCAACATATCGCAGGTGGCACGTGACCAGAATTTATCATTGAATTTGGTCTACTGGCTGGATCATTACTTTCCCTGCTTGACTGATGGGGAGTATGATATGAATGCTGATCCCTACACTCCCCCATAAGAGTTATTGAATTACACAATGATGCTCAACAATTCACAATTTGTGAACAAAGGTGTGAAACAGCAGACCCAGAATAGATTCTTCTGGAACTTCTCTCAAGACCTCCTTCCAATCTAATATCATTCCAAAAATAGTTGCTTATTATGTGTGGCTATTTAACTAATGATGTATTTACTTAATGGTAGTTCTGCCAAGTCCACATTTCTCCATCTTACTTATCAAAACGGCATGTAGGACTCTGTCTAGAGCCTTTCTAAGGTCCAGGTATATTATGTCCACTGCATTCTCCCTATCCATAGTTACTGTGTCAAAGAAGAAAATCATGGACAAGGGTGGACAAATAAAAGTTCTGATTTTTTAAAAATATGTATAGCTTTTGCAGGTATTATTTAATCCATTTCAAAACCTATTTGTACCACTGAATACTTATGTTTTTATAATTTCAATGGTGGCAGTGTTGATGTGATAATCTTCAAATCTGAGGGGGTTAGAATGTGGTCATAACAATTTGCTCTCTGTTGAAAGGTGGCTTCCAATGTGTCTCAGCCTTGTTTAACTTCCTTTTTACATTTTTAATATAAAAAGTGTCCATTGATATTTAGTCTAATGTAGTGATTTGCACACTGTGAATAATAGTTCATTTCTTCTCAAAAAAGTTCACCCTCATGGTGAAAGAGCTTTCAGACTGATGAAGAAGGGTTATCTCTCCTTCAGTGGATGCAGTTGATTCCAGACATAGGACAGAAGAGACAGTAAACCACCCTGCTTTTAACCCAAGCAAATGCCAAAATGGTACCGTGTAGATAATCAAAACTCTGACAATTGATAACTTCTGATTGTCTATTTACTTTTCTGATTTGATTACCTTATACCAAGATCACAACAATTTAATTACCAAGCAGATCTGTCTAACACCAAACAAGTCTAAATCTCCTTTCCCTAGTCATAATATGAATTGCTTAGACTTGTTTGTTTTGTGTTCAGAAAAAAGTAACTAAGTTTCAGGCAATTTAGGCAATCTTATATGTATCTGAGCTGTGATCAAAAGATAAGATTTGAAATTTGCAAGTTTAATAAAATAATTGGATAAATGCTTAAAATAATTAAAAGATACATTCCGTAAAAATAGTTTTCAAAGATGTACTGGGAGCCATACAGTATGGATTTAGGAAAACTTTGATGCTCATTTAAATATTTTTAAAGAGAAAAAGGAAAGCCACTCCAAAACACCACGTGAAATATTGTAAAGTCCAATACCCATTACTTCTTCCTTTGTTCTACCTGTGAGCAGCTCTCATTTTCAGAAAGAAAATAATGTGCATAGGATACAACAAAATCTTAATGTCTCAGGACAAAAGTAACATACAATCCAAGATAATATTTTCATTCTTGCTTTTTCGTCCTTTCTGTGCCTTTTGATGACAAAACAGAGCCTAACTGTAATCCAGGTAAATGGCATTAGGACCGGAAAGAGAACTTAAATATTTGTGCCAGGTTAAAGTTGTATTCTTTACTCATTTTGAAAGAACCATATTGCAGCTGCATGGCTGGCAATTTCAAGGAATACATTTTGCCACAATACATTACAGAAGAAGGCAAATCTTTGAAGTCCATTCCAGAACATTCATGTTTGAGTTATTCCAGTTGCTATTCCCTGGAGAATTCTCTAGCTAGAGATTAGATTAATGTATCCAAATTCAGGTGATTAGATTAATGTATCCAAATTCTGATTAGATCACCAATCTAGGTGAAACAACTGGAGTTCATAGATAAAATTGTATCACATCCATCAATATTCATTTTTCCATTTTTTATTTTCCTTTTTTGGAGTTTTTCCAAGTTCTTTGCTGCACAAAGGTAGCTGTTGCTTGGCTTCTCTTCTGTTGCTTATACACAAAAAAAGCACAAAGTTGTTTGATAACAAGAAGCTTGCTGCAGGGTGAGCCTAACGATCTGCTGCATTGGGGTGAAAGTGCTGACTGACCAGGGAAGACCAAACAGATTTTTGGTTGTCATTGCCTGGAATCAGTATCAGACTGTGATTATTACTGGGAAAAATTCCATGGTAAGAAACAAAGGAGAATTGCCTCAGAGCCCATGTCTATTACTAGAGCCCTTAAAACTCATCTATCAAACATGTGGCTCTGACGATCAGAGCATGCTGCCACGGAGATAAAGGGAATTTAGCTACCTCCTTCTCTGGCAGCAGCATTGGACCGTGATTCTCCAGAACATTATAGCCCATCTATGACAAGCAAATTCCCCCATGTGCAAAGGGCCCAACCTAAGGCTAATGCACCAGTTTCAGGCCAACTGGTTTTGTGTTAGCCTCAGCACTGGGTGAATCTCTGCCTAACAGTACCTCAGCTCAGGATGGAGGGAGGGTTAAAAGGAGGAACCATGACTATTAATTATCAGTCACTCTTTTCTTTTCAAAATACCATTTACTGGCTACTGCTCTATTTGAAGTCAAGTCCAAAAACCACTCTGACCTCAGGGGAAGTAGAGTAGGACACAAAACCTATACATAGTATGGGAAAATACAGTACTGTTTATTTACATGGTATAATGTAAGTAAACACTCAGAGCAAAAGTAATTTGATGCTTTATCACAGCATGAGATACCCTATTATCTCATGTTTTCTATGGAAAATAGCCTCAGCTGAAAAGCTTGGTAACACAGTAGGCTTTTAAAAGGATGTAGAATGTGATTACTTTTTCTGGATTACTGCAATATGTAATTACTTTTAGGAGTCTGTAGAAAGAAACTCTATTAAATGATAATTATAGGACTGTATTCACTTTAAAGTCCTGTAATAGACCTAAATATTGGAGTATTCATTAACTGTTCTCCAAAGTTAATAAAGCCATTTTTTTCTTTGAAACTAGCAATTCCCTATGAAAGAGGTGGTATGATACAAAGAGTACTCTGATTTACAAATGAAAAAGAAACTTTAAATGATTACATAAATCATCTGACTTGCAAATTGTAACACACTCTGAAAGGGTTTGCTATCTAGAAGTACCTACAATTTTAATTTTTTTCACTATCATCCATAACGTCACCTTTTTAATAAAAAAAGTGTTAAATTGACCACTCAGTTAAATTTGTCTTATAAAATATACATGAATATATCAAAGAATGTATGAAATGATGGAAGACAGTAAATTAAAAAAGTAAAATGTAGGAAGAACTTCATTACATTGTGTATCTTTTCCTAAAACAAAAGTATATGGATAGAAATTCAAGGGACCTAAAATAAAGTAAAGTAAAATAAAGTATTTCAGTGGTGTCATATAAAGATACTATATTCACAGGACTACTCACATTTGTATTATAAAACCATTTTGTTTATGTAGGTTAACTTTTTCATTAAAAGGAAAAAAAGAAAAGAAACCAAAAAAGATGAATTTGATGCTTGTATAAATGACCAGGATTGCTGGAAGAAGGCAGTGCTGCTTTGTGGCTGGGTGAGGGAGGAGAAAAGGAAGAAACTTCTACAACAGGGTGGGTGGTTGTTAGCTTTGCAGCACTGACTCACTCACCACAGGGAATGTAAGGGCAGAAGACTTTATAGGTGCAAGCCATGGAGTGGGAAACTCCTTTCTCCATGCAGCAGGTAAAGCAGCATCCAACCTCCCTACTCTTAAGGTGTGATTATCAGGGTTTTGAACCTGCTATGGGCACTATGCAAGTCGTTCCTTTTTAGGGGGACTAGATGGCAAGGTCTGTTATAAAAATAATCAATTGCCTATAGTAAACCTAAGGATTTCTTCTTTCAGGTTTGGTCCCCAACAGCACTTCAAGGGAATGTCCAGTTACACGTCACCTATCACACCCACACAATGACTCCATTAATACTGCAAGGAACCAGGTGGCTTGGCAAAATGTTTATTGGTACGCCCTGCAGAGGCTGAAAATGAGGGTCCTTCCACTACATTTCAGTACCTAGACATGGCGCTGAACTCAAGTCCAGAGGTGTAAGCGAGGATGTTATGTGCCCAGGGGAAAAGGAAAAATTTGTCATCCCCCCACTGCCACGCAGAGGGGCCCCGAACCTGGCGCACAGCTGAGCCTGACCCTGGGGGGAGGAGCTTGTATCGTGTCTGCCCCTGCCTCCACCAGTTTGGGGCTGGGCCCCTGCACACATTAACCTGCCAGTGGAGATGGAGAAGGGTCGGCCTGGGGGCTGTGAGGAGGCTCCAGCCAGCAGTGACAAGCTGAGGAGGCTCAAGTGAGCCAAGGGATGACAGGCGAGTGGAGAGGGACTAAATTGGTACCCCCCTAGCATGGTGCCTGGGGGCAACTGCCCCCCTGAACTCTCGCTACACCACTGTACAAGTCTGGGCGTATTACAGCTCCCTCCCAATAAAATGATGCGTTTCTGATTAGCAGTGGTGTATATGCTCAATTGCCAAACTTCAACCTTTAATATCTCTTTTCCTCCTAAGCACATGGCAGCGATTGAATATTGGAAGAACAGATGCCATGTCTTGTTTTCAATGCAACAGAGTGGTGACTTGCACCAGGAGCTTGCAGCAAACACAAGCGAAAGCTGTTGGTATGATGAGGCATATGAAGATCCAGCAGGCTGCCCACTTACATGGCCCATCAGGAAGGTGTGGTTGATGTGAGATATGTAACTGGCAAACCAGCTGCAGGAGTCAATCATTTGCATAGTACAGAGTGCAACTGAATGCATTTGGGAGAATGGGGCTTAATCTTTCAAACTAGCAGCAGTAACATGTTTTTGGGCTGCTACAAAAAAGGTCAGGGAAGAAGTCTGGAAATCCAACTGGGCTTGGTGGGGAGGTAGCCCAGCTAATTGCTGGCATCTCCATGTGGTGGATGTCCAGTGTAGGTGCTACATAGGGAAGATATCCAATGACCGGGTAAATGGCCTGGTAAAGGACTTAAAAAGGAGGTGTTAGTTAAAGGAATGGACTGTAGCTGGAGTTTGGGGCTTCTATGGTTGTAAGAGCAGGGAGCCAATTCCCCTTTCTTATAACCCATATTACCCCTCCTATGAGGAGGGTTGAATGATAAGGTCCTTGCAATGGATTTTCTGGAGGGATCTGGATGGAAAAGAGGGCAAGCTGGCAAAAGCCCCCCAGGTACGGTAAGGACCCAGAAATATGTATGCTGGAAGGACTTTGATGGAAAAAGAGGTAGTAGCAGGTAGAAGGCCCAAAGGGAACTGCAGAATAAACAGGGGCTTACCTGCACTGTACTCTGTTATCTGCTGGGTAGTCTCAGACATCTAATAATAAAATTGCAGCTTGATTAAATCTATACCAAGTGTCTCCTGACTTCTTTTGGTATAGCTGGACAATGAAGGATTAATACAACTGAGACTATGATATCATCGCCCTGAAGCTGTTTCAGTGTTTCTCAGTTCTGACATGTGGATAGCCCTGCTATTTTAGTCCTGAACCACTCTTGAATAGACTGCAAGTTATGCCACATGGTGCCAAACTGTGTGGTGGATCTGTTATACACACTAATATCCATTAGAGATTTAGCTGATATTACCAAACTAGCTGCTAATCTCAGTTTGAAGCTAGGTCTCCAAAGGTGAAAGGCTAGTCCATTATCTTTCCATGCAATCTAGCCTCTTTTGATATACTTCCCTAAAATATCTTAAAAAGTGAAACACAGCTGAAAAGGATTTTTTTTATTGATTTACTTATTTTTATTTTAAAAATATGCATCAAACTAATTTTACTTTCCTTTTTTCTTTCCTTTTTTAACAATGGAGAGTAAATATATACTTTACCCACTTCATTTGAGTGTACAATTGCTATGTTGAGGAACCTAGCTATTGATATTCATAATACTTTTTAAAAATTTCATCAGAAAAACTACCAGGAAGTTCTGAAATTAACTTTTTCTTCAGTGTTCAGAAATGAGGAAATCATATCACAATGATACAGGACGTTTTGTAAATGTTATAATGTTTGAGATAAAAAGTTCTTATTGTATGTAAGTAATCAGATTGTGTTCTCTTTTATCCTGATTCTAGTCCAGAGTAATTCCTCTAGCTGTATGATTTAAACCCATGCAACGGAGATCACAATTTTTGGAAACAAACATGTTTCTTCTCAATAATTAAAGCTCATTTTCACTAAACAAATTTCCTCTAAATTTGAACAATTTTGCTTTTACAGGGAAATTACCATGTTAAAATGAATTTGCTAAATGCTTATAATTTTAAGTGTATTATGTTTTATGCACTATTGTAATTATGAAATTAGCATAGAGACATTTATAAAGATGGATATGACTTTTTTCTGCTTCTCTCTCCCCTGCTTCCACAACCTTCCCACGGAGTTTCTGCTAGGGGACACAATGACTATCTCCTGAGGGTTTCTCTCATCTTATTCTGGCTAATGTAGTTACAAAAACATCCCATATAAGCTATGTCTATGCTGCAGAGTTTTTCTGGGATACTGGAGGTATCTCGGAAACTATGCTATGCTCTTCTGAATTTTTTTTCAGAAGAGCAGATGCACTTTTTCAGCATCTCTGTACCCCTCATTTTACGAGAAAGAAGGGATGTCCAAAAAAGGGTTTTTTTTCCCAACATTTGGCCCAGTTAGATGGGTCAAATGTTGGAAAAGCATCTTTCAAAAAAAAAAAGGCAGAAAAAACTACGCAAATTGCAGTTTGCAATTTGCGTAGCTTTTTCCGGAAGAGCAGTGCAATGTAGACATAGCCATTGTGTGCATTAGAAGCAGGAAGCAGAAGCTAGATATGGGGACTGATTTTCATCTGGATAGTGAATTAAACTGAAAAACTGGATCTGCATTCTCCTTCCCTCAGCCCAGCTTGCAGTGGCAGTTTTTACTTCAGATTTAAATCACGGGATATCCATAAATTAACAAATGCAACTAAGTGAAAAAACACCATGTCATACCTATCCTCTCAACTGATCCTAGGGCCCATGCTGAGCCAAGTATGCGTCATGATGAATTCCTAAAATTGTGGACTATCTATTAGTTTTCACTAAAGAGATCTGTGAATCTTCTGTTTATTACCTATTCTTGTGAATGTAATGCCAAATCAATTATTGTATAGAGTTCCATGCAATTTATAAAATATATTTTTGAATAAGAAGGCCAGTAAACAGGCACTAAATTATTCCAAACAATGTCTCTGACTATCAGTTTTATTTTCTGCCTTTTTTTTGCGTGCAAAATTCTCAAAAGCAATCAGTCAGTTAGGGTTAATGAAAATACTGTTGTATAAAATTATAATTCACATTTGTTTTCTACTTTTGCTGCTCTGAACACTAATATATGATGAACCTTGATACTAACCTCTGTTGTCTCTGAGTGTAAAATTTGGATTGTGAATAATTTCAGGTGGTAAACTGAAGATAAATCTCGGTCCATTGGCTGCATCATCCTTGTCATCAGCAGTAATTGTAATAAATGGCTTTAAAAGAAAAGTAGCTTGTAAATAATTAGTGCTTTTGTTATGTACTCATATATTGCATTCAAAAAGGTTTTGTTTCCAATATTGTGATTTTTGAATGCCAAAGGAAAACAAAAAAAAATACCATTTATTATTAACAATGTAATATGGGTATAAAAATAGAATAGTCAGCTATTTCTCTTACTATATTTAGTCAATACAAATGTTTTAAAATATATATAATATTGAGCTCAAAGTTGGGCAGGGCTGAGGAAATTAGTATAATCTCCTCCCACCCTCAAAACTCCCCAAACCCTGGCAAACGTATAGGGAATAAAAGTAGTGTTAATAAAATAACCCATTCTCCAACTGTAGGTAATCCTATGCACAAGCTACAATGGATATCTGCACTAGGGTAATATGTACACAGAGTATGAATGGATAAATTTGTGAGCTACACCCTGTAACTACAATTCTGTGCTTCCTGTCATAGAAGCCAAAGTGTTTCTCCAATATTTGACATGTCCCCATTCTTGTGAAAACTAACTTCTACTCTTGCTTTCAATGGAAGTTTGAAATAAATTAATATGTGGGTATATACACATGCACATCCACTATGTTTCAATTTTGATGTCAAATACAAAAATATGCCTATTTGTTTGCCAAAACTTAAAAATAGCAATCCAGATTTCAACTTCTCTACAAAACTGGGATCCATCCCAGGAATAAAGAACTTCCCATATCAGGGGAATGTAACAGACAGAGATACCTGGTTGCTCTGAGTATTTTCACAAATAAATGCTTCATAGGTGGATGCAAATTTTGGAGCATTGTCATTGACATCAAGAACCTTAATTGCTACAGGAACTTTGGCTTCCTGATGTCGGTTATCTATAAAAAAAAGTGAAAAAACAAAACAAAATGGTGACAAACAAAGCTATAATACTTTGATTAAAGGTAAAAAAATTATCCCTGCTTTGTATTATTCCAGCTGTTGTATCCCACATAAACAATGTGAGGAGGACTGTAGTATTTATAACAGCACTGATGTGAAATCCTCCTTGGAATACTTACGGACTTCAGTGGCAAAGACAGAGATGTTATGCCAAGCAATTTCTTCCCTATCCAAAGTTTTTATGGTCTTAATGTAACCATCTTCTGGATTGATACTAAAATATCTTTCAAGGTCAGTGTGACGATCAATTGAATACCTTGAAGAAAATGAAAATTGAGAATGAGACAAAAGAATTACTTTGCAGACTGATGGTTCGGTTTTTCTTCAACAGTGTGTTTCTTATTATTTTTAATAGAGTTTTGCAGTATCAGGCTTGCAAGTCGGGCATATTAATGGATTTTATCACCAACTTTTTAATGAAAATGCATTTACATTATTTATTAATGTCTATGTATCAGAGGCATTTTTCATTGTCAAGTTTTTACAAAGTATAGATAATTAAAACATGTATTCTTTGAAATCCTTAAATAATACCATTTGGATTGTGTCTAAATTATTTTAATATCTATAAAATATATTGAGATACTTATATTTTTCACTGGTCCATATTTATTAATAAGAGATTTTAATTATTTTAATTTTCAGAACACTCAAAACATTACAGAATTTACCACTTGCTAGATTATTTAAAATTAGTGATGTACTAAACATCTCTAATTTACACTACAGTTTGTTTTGCTATGGTTTTCATACCTTCATTTTGAAACTCTTCTAAATAACTTGATATCTTAGTTAATAGGAGGGAAATGACACCAGAAAACACACACATCAAATACTACTTCATACCTCTCTCAGGGTATCTCTACCCTATAGTGTTATTTTGAAATAACTTTACTGTGTAGACATACCCTCACTGTATTGTTAACAGTTATGCATAGATGCACGTGTGTGTGTGTGTGTGTGTGTGTGTGTGCATATCTGTGTAGCAATTGACAGTAGTAACCACACAGTAGTATCTGTGCTACTACAGCTGTTTCTATTCTAACATCCTTGAAAAATTGGTATGTCTGACAGTATTATAGAATATCTACCTTGTAATAGTGACTAGGGTGTTTTGGTATGAAGACAAAGATATAACAGATTGTACAATAAATATGTCCTAAATATGAGAAAATGTGCAAAATGAATGAAAAAATACATTCAAATAAAGAAGATAATTGACTATCTTGATTCTCTCTATAAAAACAATAGAACTAAATGATAAAGCATACCTTATAGCACTATTAGCAGCATCAGGGTCTTTGGCATGTACTCTCCCAACAACAGCACCAGCTGCCGCATTCTCCTGTACTTCAAGGATGTAATTTGGTGCTAAAAATATGGGTGGCTCATCAGCATCTTCTACTGCCACCTTGACAGTTACAGTGTCCTTGAATGGTCCATTGCTGATGAACTTAGGATCAATATGTACATTGGCTGCCTCAACCTTCAGACTGTAGGACTTTTTGGTTTCAAAATCTAGGAGCTGTAAGACATAAGAGAAGGATGCGTCAGTTGGATAGTGCCACCAATGTTAAAATGTAGAAGATAATTCCTTAGAATGTGACAGTAGAATCCCTGTAAAACAGATGTGGGCATAGCTCTTAATATGGAAAGACTCTTGTGCCCGAAGCCTTTAAAATGTGTGCTGAATGTAAGTGCTAAATACACACTATATCTAGAACTGAGAAAGAAACTTAACATACTGGGCAACATTCCTTACTGTGTCCTGTGCGTGTTGTGCTGCTTAGGGAACCACCCACATCTTCTCAGCTGGGGATCCCTGCAGAAGCAAGAGTCTCTGCTGCTTCTCCAATTAAAGCCCCAACGCAGAGAATATGTTGGGGCAAAGTGCAATAAGGATGTGTCTGCAGCAGGCTGCGTCTGCTTATCACCAGCTAGTGGGCAGTCCCTTGAGGTCAGTTGGCAGCTGGCATTAGGGCAGTGTAATCCATTATTTTTGTCAAGATTCAGATTTCTTAGTCAAGGTATAGTCAAAGTCCAGACTCAAGAGAAATGTATTAATTATTTATTATTCATTATTATGATCATAATCAAAAACAAAACAAAATAACAACATTTTGTGTTCCTTTCAAAAGCATATGACTGTCCAGATTTGGCCTGCAATCCACCTATTGACTATCCCTGCACTAGGGTCTGAATTGAAGATCCATAATTGACTTTTTACTTGGCCCTTTGCGCTTCCTGCAGCTCCCCTTGGCTAGAAATGGCAAACCGGAGCCAATGTGAGCCACGAGGCTCCGTACCAATGGAGCCTTTATGTAAACAAACCAGAATGGCCTGGTAGCAGCTTTCTCAAAGTGGGTTCATGTCTCACTTTGAGAAACACTGCTATAGTCTATGGTCTATGTTTATACGTTATGGGCAAAAGGTAGCATAGAAGGTGCTATAGTGGCTCCATATCAACTAGGATTTTCCCCCACTGTGGAAGAATCCTTCAGCAGCTGCATCTGTCTTCCATATGGACATTATGGGGTGGTGAGCTGGCACTCAATGTCATCGCAAGGGTCAGAATGGAGAGGCTGATGTGAGTCAATTGACAGTGAGTTCTAATTTCGCTAAATATTAATTGCACTTTTATTTGGCATAGTGTCTGTCCTAACACATCTAATGAACAGCTACTTTTCAAAAAGTAAATAGAAATAATGATTAATGAAGAAATATTATCCCCACAATGGTGGGGAAAGTGTGAAAAGTAATAGTGGTATTCTTTGTACTTCTATAGCTTTTCTATCCAAGAATCTCAGAGCACTTTAGAAATATAAAGGGAATAAGCCGCACCACAGCCTGTGCAGTAGGAATTATTCTCTGTGTTTCAGATGACTGATCCTATCTATGGTGTACCTGCAATGTGTCACTGACATAGAGAGCTTGTAATGTTTCAGTATTAGAAGCCACAGTATGGTTATGTCCTTAAATGTCTGAGAGGCAGGTGCCAACTGTGGCTATCAAATTATGCTAACAGCACAGAATGGACTGCAGGCAGTGATAATGTGCTAGCTATAGCTAAAAAAGCAGTGCAGACATAGTAATCGAAGAGCTATTAAAACAATGAGCAATCAAACAACATCACAGCAGCACAATAACTATCAGTATTCTAAGCAGTGACTGCCTCACCATCTCAAAAGTAAAGCACCATCTTCAAGTAGATATAGATAATTTTTACCTTCAGAACAGAAAAAGACTTGCACCTCTTCCACATGCTCAGATTAAGGCCCCCAAAGGGAAAACCACATCAAAATGCACATTATCTTCTTTAGAACAGTGAATGAATCTTAACCAGCAGAGTAAAGAAGGATAGTCTTGTGGTTAGGGTGCTAGTCTGGGATTTTAGAGAACCAGGGTTAATTCCCTTCTCAGGTACAGACTTTGTGTTTGATCTTGAGTTAATCATCTAGGACATGTCTGTACTACAAAGAAGATCAATGCTGCCACAGTTGATCTTCCAGGTTTCAGTTTAGAGGGTGTAGTATAGACCCACTAAATTGAACTGAAAGGGTGCCCCCATGAGCGCTGGTATTCCTGCTCCTCTCAAGGAGTAAGGGAGGTTGTCAGAAGCATTTGTTCATGTTGACCTCCCAGTGTGTGGATGGGAATGTAAGATAAGTCGACTCCAGATACATAATTTACATATCTTGAATTATGTATCTTACTTTGACCTTCCCAGAAATGTAGACCAGGCCAGAGGTATTGAGTGCCTCAGTTCCCCATCTGTAAAATGGGGAGAGTTGTGTTACCTACCAGACAGAGTAAGTATGCTGTGGGGATAATATCTGAAAGTCTGTGGGACATACACTTATCTAAAATGCTGCTTGGATTAAAAAATACTCTTTGTTTTTCACAAATGACAAAATAATTAGTTAGACTATCAAAAATCAGGTAATAATCAGATAACAACCTTGAAAAACTGGAATAATTAATTCAGAATAGATGCTATCAACAGAACATGGCAGATACACATGAGTTTACACACATTCATTCATAAGCAAAAAAGTAAATGTCCATTTATATTGAAAAGCTGTCAAATCATTTTCAACATTATCTGATATATCAGAACTATATGGAATACGTTCTCCAGCATCTGAGATCAGACACGAGTCAGAGCAGAGATGAGGATGTTGTAAGGGTTCTCACCTTTGAAAAAAGTGTTCCAAGATAATCCATATGTTCTAGTGCAGCTATCAATACTAATCAACATTGTTATCAGTATTTTAGTGACATTAAATTTGTAATTGTTTCATTAGCTCAGGATCTCATGCTGGACTGTGGATATGCAAATAAGCCTGACTGAGTCCTGCTTGACTGGGATCCTGGAGAGACTCTTCAAAAACACATGGGATTAAATTGCATTGTCTAGAAGGCTGGGTACAGGATTGGTGGAGAGAGGGATTTCAGATCTGCTTCCTCTCTGACATTAGAAATAAGCAGTCATGCATCAGTCTCTATGGGCTTGAACCTGCTCAATGCTGAGTAACACCTGCAAGGCGATGAGTGGCCTCAACTTCCATCAGAAGTGGCGGGTGTTGACAGCACTCAGCAAATTACAGGACTGTTCAGAGTGTCAGAGGAGTAATCCCTATACGTATTGTATTTGACTTGAGAGACAGGAAAACATGTTACATAAAAACAAGGGCGTTGATTTGTTTGCATACTGTGTATGTGCACTTGTGTGTGTTTGACTACAGATATGCACTTTGTGATGCAGTATTTTGAAAGTGCTGTTGTTCTAGATGTTAACTGATTTTCAACAATTGCTTATTCTTATTATATTTGAGAAATTATTATGCGGGCAGTTCTATGTCAATACTTGTAAGAGCCTCTTTTACTTGATCAGTCTGCACATTTTGGGAAAAGCTCCAGAGTGAGCTAATGTTACTCCAGTCCAGAGGAGGGGAACCTTCAGTGCACCAGCTGCACGCAGCTTCATGTAGCTTCCAGTGGCCAGGAATGGTGAACCACAGCCATTGGGAGTTGCAGGGCTCTGTGCCTGTGGACGCTCAAGTAAGCAAACCATTTGGCAGCCCACCAACAGCTAACCCTGACAAATCTTGAGTTCTCCACCCCTGCCCAAGTGCCTCATGAAACTGACCTAGGCTAAAATAGCATGGATTACAAGGAAGAAAGTAAAAGGTGAAATAAAACAATGATCCCACAGTAACGAAATGCTACTTCCCCCTTCCCCACACCCAGTAAAGTATCCAAGTGACTCATGAATGCAGAGGATCATGCTTAAACCCAAGTCTGTCATCATCATTGGCAAAAATGAGAGTATAACTTTGTTCTATGGGACTTTTTATTTTCACTGGAACACCACCCACATCATCCGTTTCTATATATCTATGCAGAATGTCGGGGAAGTAATATTGAACATTATCTTAAAATTCTTATGTTACTACCAACTTGAAAATGAACGTTTGATTAAAACATCAAACTCAATTCCATTATTTATTTCTATGGTAATTCTCCATATACTTTGAAGAGAGAAAGGTCTTTATTTCTCAAGGGGTATATCAGTACAGAGTTCTGTTACTTTATATTAATAAATCCACTCTAGAACCTTTTTGTAAAGCTGCTTTCCATTCATTACTTCCTCCCATTTTGGCTCTAGGCATTAGCAGAGAACAGAAAAATGGATTGTTCAGAATTAATCACAGCTTCATAAACAACATTATACACAATTGTATTTACCATAATTTTATCATGGACAGTAATCTACTGCTATTGTATCTTCTGTGAGAAAGAAAGTGAAGTATGCTGTATATATTATTGGATTTGAAGGGACAGCATCTCTCACCTTCTTAAGCTTTACAACACCTTCCTGAGTCTCATAATCTGTTGTAATTTCAAACATCTCCACACCATCTCCATCAATGATGCTGTAAGTCACTAAGCCATTTTCTCCAATATCTGGATCTTTGGCCTTCAATCGTCCTACTTCTTCCCCTGGAATGGATGCTTCTGATATTGACATCTGGTATACACCTAGGCAAAAAACATTCCATTGTAATGGCACAGTTTGCTTCTTCTAGCATTCATATTTTTACCCATTTTCATTTATAGATGTAAAAATAGCACAGCACTAATGGAGTTATCCATTGAAGGAATGGTTATATTATAAAGGTCTAGCTTACTTTGAGATTGAGGTCATTTGTGAAATCTGAGGCCATGTTGCTAATCTGTATAAAATTACCTTTCCCATTACAATCTTCACCTCTAGTGCACAGTAGGAATTAAAGGGCACTGTTTCTGCCTAGTTTCAATCCAAGGACCTGTCACAAGTGAAGCAAACGTGATAACTACTACACTACAGAAATCAGCTATAGCAGAAGTTAAAAGGCCAACTGATCATGCAATCAGAATGCAGAAATTATTATGACATCGAGGTTATAATTCATATTGGAGATGTTATTACAAAAATCTAGAGAAAATTAAATTTCAAATGATTCATGGTATGAACTTCATCTCTGAGAATCCAAAGATGGTAACTGATGTTCATTCAAAAGACACAAATTACATAACAGGAACTGGATAAGATCATACTGATGTGGAACCTAGAGGAATAAATCTGCTGTTTTCCATAACTCTCACTTGGAATATGAACTTGCATTCAATGAAATAACTGAAATTTAAGGACACTTAGTACATGCCGAATTATGTGGGGGCCAAGTAAAGATCCACAGGGAAGAGAAATAAAGGAAACTTTCCCACCCTAATTCAGGACCTATATCCTCTGTTGGTCCCAGTGGTCCAAATCTCTAGAAATGGTGAGGATGGTGCAAAGGAAACAACGCTCCTATGTAGTAGGAGGCTGTACGGGGTTTACTTATACATAATAGTCCTCTAGAAGCGCTTTCTACACATCTCCAAATACCCTCCAACACAAGCCAGTGTATAAAGGGTTGTCCCTAACCATTAACCATTTTGGCATTCTTTACATTAGCCAGAGCATGAACACTGATGTGAGCAAAGTCAGACTACAAGATAAAATAAAATGGGTTAAATCTACACATCTCCCTGCCTTCAAGAATCAAGTGAGGAACATTGGGGGAACATAGGCACAGGAACTAGATGTGCAGAAGAGACTGCAGCACCCCTAGGCTCCTGGTCTAATGCTTGGGGTCCCAGCTGCTGGCCCCATATGCTGGAGACTCTGATTCTGGCCCCACATGGTAGATTCAGTGTATGTGCCAGGAGCTATACTGACATAAACTGGGACCCCAACATGTGGGACCCCATATGAGTCCCATGTGCTGGGGGCTCTGTTACCAGCCCTATGTGCTGGAGTCCCAGTTTTAGCCCTGTACACCAGGGACTTCTGCTGCCAGCCCTCTGCCTGGGGTCCTTGCTGCTAGCCCTATGTGTCAGGGCTTTGCTCCTGGCCTCAGATGTGGGTGGGAGTTGACAGAAGTAAGGGGGACTTAGCATCCCCACTTTTAAAGAGGGTCCCACACCACTTTCAGAGGAGGTATATCAGGTATGGACTTTCTTCATTCACTGTAAACACAAGAGGCATATATGACAGAAATAAAACATGAATTCAGATCACAAACATGCCTAAATCAAAGCAGATTGTACAATAACATTTTGACCTATTGACAGACAGTCACTTGGATAGCAAATGAATGCAATGTCTTAAATGCTGTGAACCTAATATCCTTTTCTTGCTGGACAAGTGAAAGTTTTTTTAAAAAATACAATAGTTAGTGTTATTCAGTGCAATGTATCCTAGAGAGTAAAAACAATCCCCTTCAGGGTCGGGGTAAATGCAAAGTTTGAATTAGCTAAAACAAACAAATAAATAAGATGAAAATATATGTGAAAACCAAATAATCAGTGTAGCTACTAAAACTGGTGCACTTGTAGTAATTAGCAATATTTTGTCTCCAATCTGAAAATTTATTTGTGCTAAATTTTATTTTATCTGCTACCTGTGGATATAACTATTCACAAAGGAGTAAAGGTCCAATCCTATAATCTTTAGTCACCTGAACAGTCCTTGACTTCAGTGAAACTACACATACAAATGAAAGATGCAGCATCATGCATAAAATTGAAAGAATACATGAAATAGAATGTGATGCTCACTCAGCTGCAAGGCTGTCAAGAAGCTGAAAGAGCATAACCATGAGTTGTTAGCAGGATGTGCAATGCTCTTTCATCTGTGGCCAAGGAAAGCACTTCTTGCCTCAAAAAAACCTTAGACAGCATAGGGTGCAGCAGGTGTAAAAAGATAAAATAGATCATCTGCCATTCACCCGTATTCACTAACAGAAGTGGATTTGCACAAGTAGAAATGGCTATCATAAGCTACAACTTGGAAATAGCTATGAATAGGGAGTACTGAAAGTATAAGGGAAAAAGACACATTGGCTCTTCTTTAGCACAGTGTTAGTCTCTCTCTGTGAGAGCCTACTGGTATGTGTAGATGAATGTATTGTGGGAACCCCATGTATATTTTATGTCTCCAAAACCAGAATAAACTGCTGACATACAATGGAGGTGAGACATTCGAAATCCATTCTTTTAACTCCTCCTGGTTCTCCATCATATTTTTGACAGATTTTCAAAGAATTTTTTTCCGGGACTGTTGGCATTGTCTGAATAGAATGCTGAACAGAGCCTGCTTTTTCTGAGCAGGCTTTAGTACCTCTGCAGTGTTAAAAAATAGACTTGCACTGCAGCAACGATGGCTTAAGATTACTTAATAAATGTATTCTAAGTCTTTTCCCTAATGTATAGTTTCAAGTACTTTTTTTCAGCCTAGTTTTAACTATCTCCATTACAGATACTTCACTTTCATAAAAGTTTAGATCATATCACATTGATCTCACCATAGGTATGTTTATAGTACAAAATGACTCAACCGTTTTCAAAATGAAGCATGGAGCCAGGAACCCCCTGCCCTGATCATGGCCCTGAAAATAACTCCCTCTGTAGCACTTGAGAAATCATTTTAGGACTGCGCATAAAATTGGGAACATATTTACATATATCAAATTTCTGTTGTGATTCTCTATTAGCTATGATTAGTTTCTATTTGTTTGACTATGTAAAGCGCTACATGAGTGTTAAATTATATTAGTAGTAACTGTTATGTATGAAGGGACTTGTCACTTACTCTGTGGGAACTTTGGTGGGTTGTCATTGACATCAGTAAGTGTAATTGTCACTTTAGTCGTCCCTGAGAGTCCTCCCATGTGTCCTCCCATATCTTTTGCCTGTATTACAACATGATATTCTTCCTTAGCTTCTCTGTCCATGTTTGGAAGAGCAGTTCTAATAATACCTGTACAATCAAAGGAACAATGTCATATCAATATTTTCAGTCATTCAAAACTAGTATTTGCATATTATACAGTGTATTTAAGACATATCATGCATGCTGCTTAGATCAAAACTGCCCAATCTCCCCTAGGTTCTTGTCTAAAAAGGAGGCCTAAAATCAGCATAGCTGGACACAAAAGGGCTCGTCTACATTGGCCCCTTTTCCGGAAGGGGCATGGTAATTTTTGAGATCGTAATAGGGAAATCCGCGGGGGATTTAAATATCCCCTGCGGCATTTAAATAAAAATGTCCGCCGCTTTTTTCCGGCTTCTAGAAAAGCCGGAAAAGAGCATTTACACTGGCCCCGATCCTCCGGAAAAAGCGCCCTTTTCCGGAGGATCTTATTCCTACTTATTCAAAAGCGCCCTTTTCCGGAGTGCAATATAGATGTGAGCTAGGAGATGGTGCCATACTTTATATTTTGCCCTGGTTGAAATAAGCTAACAAGGGAAAAGCCCACCTCTCCTTTTTGATCAATACAAGTATCCTTTGTGTGAGTGTAGTTGTGGAGTGTTGCTTCCCATTTGACAGCTATATAACACCAAAGCAGTAAAATATTTTACAGGTAATTGCAAAGAAATATTAAATCTACGGGAATAGTGTATATTAGGTTGTAAAATCATTGACTGATGGCCTATAATTTGCCTTATCATCAGTGACTTCCTAGGGCATCTCTTTTCCAATGAACAAATTGCTAAATAGATCCTCAGTAATCGTTGACACTTTTTTTTTGTTTTTGGTGTGTGTGTGTAGGGTGGGAGAAGAGCAGTGGAAATAGTCACATTAAACAGGTTTCCTTATGATTTAACTGTGTGGCTTTAGCAAACACATTTACTTTTTAAATTTGTTCCTTTCTTTTCTTTTTAGGTACATCAGTTATTCAAGTAACTGCTTCGGATGCTGATGATCCTACCTATGGGAACAGTGCCAAACTGGTTTACAGTATTCTTGAGGGTCAGCCGTACTTCTCTGTGGAAGCACAAACAGGTATGAAAGAGACAGATTTATATGTTTTGAACACCATTACTTCTTCAAGTAAATGAAAATGAAGAGCTAAATATTTTGTCTCCGAACTGCAGTAACAGTTGAAGGGCAGTCTAGTTCATCTTGGGGTATCCAGATCGCTTTAAAGCACCTTCAGTCTCTCCTTCTTCTGTCCAAGGTGTTCAGCAAGATTGGCCTCTGGTGTGTATAGCATTTGAGAGAGATGTCCCCGAGACAGGACCAATGTTTCCTCTATTTTTTTCCATCCATTCTTGGAATACATTTTTATGTGAATTGAGGCATGTGCAAATGTCCCCACCAGAAGAAACAAAACTTATCTGTGCGTGTTCTGCTAATCAGCTAGGTAGTATTTGAATCTCTGCTGAGCAGTTGCACAAGTGCACAGCATACAGAGAACACTGGATGGGACTATTCCCCCTGCCTGAGTTGCAGAGAGATTTAGTAGAAGCTGATATTCAGACTCTATGCGGCAGAAGAATTACCTTGGTAATACTTTTGGGTATGTCTAGCCTGCAACCCTCTGTCGGCAGAGGGATGCAGATCGACATTGCAAATGAAGCAGGGATTTAAATATCCTACACCTAATTTGCATAAAAATGGCTGCTCTTTTTGCCAACTCAGCACTTTCTCAGCAAAAAGCGGCAGTCTAGAAGGGGATCTGTTGAGAAAGAAAGCCTTTTTCGACAGATCCTATAAACCTCCTTGCAGGCGGCATAAGGGATCTGTTGAAAAAGGCTTTGTTTCTCAACAGATCCCCCTCTAGATTGCTGCTTTTTGCTGACAAAGTACTGAGTATGCAAAAATGGCGGCTATTTTATGCAAATTAGGCACAGGATATTTAAATCCCTGCTTCATTTGCAATGTCGATCTGCATCCCTCTGCCGACAGAGGGTTGCAGGCTAGACATACCCAAAAGTATTACCAAGGTAATTCTTCTGCCGCATAGAGTCTGAATATCAGCTTCTACTAAATCTCTCTGCAACTCAGGCAGGGGGAATAGTCCCATCCAGTGTTCTCTGTATGCTGTGCACTTGTGCAACTGCTCAGCAGAGATTCAAATACTACCTAGCTGATTAGCAGAACACGCACAGATAAGTTTTGTTTCTTCTGGTGGGGACATTTGCACATGCCTCAATTCACATAAAAATGTATTCCAAGAATGGATGGAAAAAAATAGAGGAAACATTGGTCCTGTCTCGGGGACATCTCTCTCAAATGCTATACACACCAGAGGCCAATCTTGCTGAACACCTTGGACAGAAGAAGGAGAGACTGAAGGTGCTTTAAAGCGATCTGGATACCCCAAGATGAACTAGACTGCCCTTCAACTGTTACTGCAGTTCGGAGACAAAATATTTAGCTCTTCATTTTCATTTACTTGAAGAAGTAATGGTGTTCAAAACATATAAATCTGTCTCTTTCATACCTGTTTGTGCTTCCACAGAGAAGTACGGCTGACCCTCAAGAATACTGTAAACCAGTTTGGCACTGTTCCCATAGGTAGGATCATCAGCATCCGAAGCAGTTACTTGAATAACTGATGTACCTAAAAAGAAAAGAAAGGAACAAATTTAAAAAGTAAATGTGTTTGCTAAAGCCACACAGTTAAATCATAAGGAAACCTGTTTAATGTGACTATTTCCACTGCTCTTCTCCCACCCTACACACACACACCAAAAACAAAAAAAAAGTGTCAACGATTACTGAGGATCTATTTAGCAATTTGTTCATTGGAAAAGAGATGCCCTAGGAAGTCACTGATGATAAGGCAAATTATAGGCCATCAGTCAATGATTTTACAACCTAATATACACTATTCCCGTAGATTTAATATTTCTTTGCAATTACCTGTAAAATATTTTACTGCTTTGGTGTTATATAGCTGTCAAATGGGAAGCAACACTCCACAACTACACTCACACAAAGGATACTTGTATTGATCAAAAAGGAGAGGTGGGCTTTTCCCTTGTTAGCTTATTTCAACCAGGGCAAAATATAAAGTATGGCACCATCTCCTAGCTCACATCTATATTGCATTGCTCACCTCAAGATGAAGAGTACAATGGGCCCTGTAGATCACACTACCTCTTGCTCCACAAACCTTGGTTTGACCCCTGTCAGTTGGAGGATTCCCCCCTCTCCCCCATTCACACACTCCTTAACCCTAACACAGTCTTGCAGAGACCCTTTGCAGCCTAGCCAATGCTCAAGTGATTTTGGAGGGTTTGGGAGCTCATTTTGTCATGACGTGCTCCAACCCCAACAAGAAGTTCAGCCCTTTTGGAAGCCAGTAGGGTCTCTCATCTTGGATCACCAGGCTCAGAGGCAGGGTGGGGATGGCCCCCTATGTTGCTAAAGTGTCTCCTCTCTCTCCCCTCTTCTAAGAAACCCAGACAGGACAGCACTTCTTCTTCTCCCTGAAACATCCAGTGTAGGAATGGTCAGAGGGGAACAAAAAGCCCCCTGGAATTGTCCTTCAGCCTATCAGCATGGGAATGGGGAGATGAGAGAGGATACTGCTTGGCTACGTCTACACTGGCACCCTTTTCCGGAAATGCTTAAAACGGAACAGTTTTCCGTTATAAGTATTTCCGGAAAAAGAGCGTCTACATTGGCAGGATGCTTTTCCGGAAAAGCACTATTTCCGGAAAAGCGTCCGTGCCCATGTAGACGTGCATTTCCGCAAAAAAGCCCCGATCTTCATTTTCGTGATCGGGGCTTTTTTGCGGAAAATAAATCTGTGCTGTCTACACTGGCCCTTTTCTGGAACAGTTTTCCAGAAAAGGACTTTTGCCCGAACGGGAGCAGCATAGTTTTTCCAGAAAAGCACTGATGATTTTACAGAAGATCATCAGTGCTTTTCCGGAAAAGCAAGTGGCCAGTGTAGACAGCTGGCAAGTTATTCCGGAAAAGTGGCTGATTTTCCGGAATAAGTTGCCAGTGTAGACACAGCCCTTATGTCTTCCAGATACAGGCATGTGTGAAACACCCTAGGACTGCGAGGCTGGGTGTGCTGAAGTGGGGGCGGAGGCTGAAGGTGCTGCCAACTTTGAAGAAGGGGAGAAACCCAAGGGCTGCAGGAAGGAAGAATAATTAAAAGTAAAATTAATTATTTTTGCTCCTTGAACAGTTAATTAAGAGAGGTTTTTTGAATGCATTGTGATCATGGGATATTTTTTATTTTTGTGTAGTCATCAAATTATAGAAAGAAATAGGAATGATTTCAAGTTACTTTTCATTATAATTGTATTGATTATTTAAAAATATGTAGGGCTTAAATGTAATTACTGCACTGAAAGACAGAAAGCTCTGAAAGATGGCGGATGTTGTAAAGGTCTTCTTGAATGTGCACATCTTTGCAGCTCACATAAATGGTTACTAAACATAACTGGTAAACTTCATACATAGAGTGCTTTGTGTGATGAAACTGTTCACTATTAATTTCCCAGTTCCATTTTATAGGCCTTCTACCATATACTTTTAAATATGTGTGATTTAGGTTTTTCCATCATATTTTAATTTTATCACACTTCAGATCTCTCCACTGAGTGTTTTCTTGGGTACAATCATTTAACACAAGACCTCTGTCTTTTTCCAACCAGTAGGGATGCTTTTTCTCTGCCCCAACTCTCCATTTTTCAAGGGATACATTTGAGATACCAATTTAAAATATCATGATTATATTGAAATTAGTTTTTACTTAGGACTAGTCCCCATTTCCTCCCCTCCCCAAAAACCAACCAACAACAACAACCATTCTTCATCTTTTCCATTCTAATTCTCCTTCAATTTGCAAACACTGAGTTTCCATGTGAGCTTCCAGAGAAAAGTATGTGTGCATTAAAGGTTGACTTTTCAATCTGTAATTATCACACACACGTTTCCAGAAAAAGCAGAGGTGGTGTTAAATCAAAAAACAGATTAAAATACATGGTGGTTTTTAAGTCTTATGATTTCTGTGACCTAGTCTTATGATTTTGATCTTGTGAGGGAGTCTGACTCAGAAAGTATGATGTCTTATGGTTGGCAAAACTGGCTATAGCAGAGTTTTCAACTTTGAATCCTTCAGCTAATTAGAGCAAATGACAGATGATGTTTCATTGATTAATAGAAGAACTGAATGAATACATTTTTCTCCTCAGAAACTGGAAAAAGTCCCTGTCAATATAATTTACTCCAAAAAATGTAAAGTGGCATGCACTTATTGGTACCTACCCACATTGGACCTCTCTGGCACGTTAGCATGATAATTCTCATGTAGAAACTCAGGCGGGTTGTCATTTATATCTTGAACTTTAACAATGAATTCTGAAGGTGGTTCCAAAGGTCTGTTAGTGTTTCTGTCTACAGCTTGTGCCGTTAGAGTATACTGAGCTCTCTCTTCTCGGTCCAGTGTCTTTGTTGCATGGATGTTCCCTGATTTGTCATCGATAACAAAAATTATTCCAGCGCCTTCACCTGAGAGAATGTATTTAATGTTTCCATCTCCAGAGTCGATATCTGAATGAAGCTATAAAATATAAAATATATATTGTAACTAAGCAATATATACTGTGCATTTCCAGCCATTAAAATTGTAATTGAATTATTACATGTTATTGTCTAGCCACTGCCAAGTTTCTAAACTTTCAGGACTGATGCAGAGCTTAGTTTCATGAGTCAGGTGCATAGCTGACATCATTTGCTTTGGCTCAGAAGTGTTGAACTCCTGTTTAAATCAGCAAACCGATGACAGAATTTAGCTTAGTGAGTCTGATTCTCTACTCTACTACATGGGTTTTAAGCTAAAATAACACAACTGACTGTGCAGGAGGTAAATCAAGTGTAACACGAGAGACAATCCGGCCCAGAATATGTAATGCAGTCTAATTTTAATCTTACTAAGTAATATCTTAAAATTTAGATGTTCAATAGGAGTGGGTTGTATAGTGCAGCTGGGAGGTGTAATTCTCAGAGCAGGTAGACTCACTTGCATTAGCTCTCTTCTCAAGATAGCAACACAGCCATATGGCACAGCTGGCAGTCCAGCTACCTAACTCCAAGCCTGCCCTGTGAGTCACATTGCTATTTTTAGTGAGCTAGTGCTAGTCAGTGTAATTACCCAGGGATTCACATTTATCAACTGCTTGGTAGACATAAATGTAAATTATGTTTTTCATTTATTTTGGTTTGCCTGATCTAATCTATTTTAACCATTATTTTAAAACTCTTACACGGGTTGGTATGTTCTAGACTAGTCTTACAATACTGAGAGCTATGCTCCTCTGAATGGACACCAAGGCTGTGTCTAGACTACAGAGTTTTGTCGACAAAAGTGGATTTTTGTTGAGAAAACTATATCTGCATCTACACTGCTGCTGAGTTCTGTCGACATAATGTCGACAGAACTCAGCAGTTTTGTCGACGTTGGTAAACCTCATTCTACGAGGAATAACGCCTTTTGTCGACAGAGTTCTGTTGACAGAAGGCATTATTGCATCTACACTATGCTTTGCATCTACACTGTCATGTCGACAAAGCGGCTTGCGTTGTCAACAGAACTGTCTGTAGTCTAGACGCTCTTTGTCAACAGAAGCTTTGTCAACAGTATCTGTCAACAAAACTTCTGTCGACCAAAGGCTGTAGTCTAGACATACCCCAAAATTAAGAATGGTATGACGATTTACTGGGACATGGTGGACAATTTAGGGATTAACCTTGTTGTGCAAATGATCCTTTTGGTCCCAGTAGAGAAGGTTTCAATGTACTGCTCTAAGGCCTGAAGTCAAAGTGCTTTGAATTCAATGGAAAAACTCCCCTTCAGTTCAATACACTTTGGATCAGGACCCTTACTGAGCTACAGAGGAAATGATGAATACCAGAAGTTTCAGGGAGGAAAAAAAGAAGCTGATATAGCAATGAGAAAGAAATCAGTACCTATTAAAAACAAATGAAAAAGTGTAATATATTTCTTACCCTGCCAACTAGTACAGGATCCGGTCCTGTGTACTCTTCTATTACAAAGAACTGATTCCACACCCAGCCTCTTTTTGAACGATGCAGAACTTGCCCTTCTTTTCCTTTTTCATGGTGACCATGAAGTGACGGCCTTAAATGGTTGAGTTTTTCTGTAGACAGGGCATGGCTGTAACACAGCATGCCCAGGCAGATAAGAGCAGCATGTAAACAACTGTCCTCCTTCATTTTTGGTTATTTTATAGGCACAGGAGTATTCAAGAATCTACTCCTTCCACCCAGAGTGGCCTCTGAAGTAGAAACCGTGGGGCTACTGGAAAATTTCAGATGTAATGTTCTGCATATAGGATGCCACCTCTCATTAAGTGCATCACTTTAATGCTCTGCAGATTCCCAACTTAATTGCTGAAGGAAAGAAGAGTGGAGAAAAGTGTCAGTCTTTCCCTTTTGAGAAGTGACAATTATAAGCCAACTGTAAAAAACTATTGCCAATCCAGCACAGATGTAATATCCCTTGCACACTTAAAGAAAATAACAGTAATCAAGAACTAATGATTCAGTAGGAAAATATTACTTTGATAGTAATTATAACAACTATAACTATTCTAAATAAGTTTTCTTTCTGGTACTGTTAGTGTTCATTTCCCTCTTCTCCTAATGCAGTGGGAAACGATGCCCATATAGGTTTCAGCATGCATCCGGTACGGTAATAAAATATTATCAGTCAGTGCTTAGAAGCATTCCCAAACCTTAATGCTGCCCTTGCCACCACCCTTGCCACAAACCTTTAACATTATGAATTAGTAAAAACACCTAAAGACTCTTTGATAAGGTGATGTTTGGCAGTAGCACCCATTCCAGGTGTCTCTAAGGTAGGTCTATAGTGTAATAAAAGACCCATAACTGCAAATGGCTTGGGACAGGTGAATTAAGGTTAGGCAGCCATGCTAAAAATTGTAGCATGTACATTCAGGCTCAAGCTGGAACCATGGTCCGAAACCATGTGAGAGATGAGTCTCAGAGCCCAGTGTCTAGCCCAAGACTGAATGGCCGGAATGCAACGTTTCGTCCCACAAACTGAAATCAACTTATGTGGACTCCAAGACTTGGTGGAATGGGACTTTTTATTGACGTATAGACATCCTCCTAAAATTTTAGTTGCCCAGATGATTTTGCCTCTTTCCTCATATCTGATCACTTCTGTACAATAGGTCAGAGTCAACAATGAGATTGTCTAATACATTGAGACTTGAGCTAAGGCTACACGTTCAGGACTATCAACCCATCTTAAATAACTTTTTGCATATACCCATCAAGCTTCCTGTACAATGTTTTTCAGCCTTTATTTAAAGAACACCTGTACTCTGTTGTGTTGGAACAATGTGTATAATGGGGATGCTGAGAGCCATTGAATCCACTGTATACGATGGAAACTAGCACCCCTCATTCTAGCACCTATGCCTGTACTGAGCAACCGACATGTACTGCTCCCGGAATGTTTGTTTTAGGCGTCTCAGTCAGTGTTCCCAATAGGCTGTGAACTTGTGCTCAGGAAAGATGCCACCTAGCTGATTAGCAAGGTATCCACAACTAGGTTTTTTGTTTCTGCTAGTCATGCACATGCACACATGCCTCATGACCACACAAAAGTTTATTCTGCATAAGGCTGGAAAAGATTAGTGGGAACATTTGTCTTAGGAATTTTCTTTGTATCTGCTACAGATTGCTAACAAAATATTAACTTAAAGCTATATTCCATTCTCAGAGGCACACAACCTTTTCCAATTCTCTCTCTCTCTCTCTCTCACAAACACACGGGCTGCGTCTAGACTGGCATGATTTTGCAGAAATATTTTAATGGAAAAGTTTTTTGCACAAAAGCATCCGTGGCCAGGCTAGACGCGATTTTGGCAAGAAAGCCCCAATTGCCATTTCAGCCATTGGGGCTTTTTTGCGCAAAACATTTCTTCCCTTTCTACACTGGCCCTCTTGAGCAAGTAATCTTGTGCAAGAGGGCTTTTTCCCGAGCGGGAGTGGGAAAGTATTTGCGCAAGAAACACTGATTTTGTACATTACAAAGTTAGTGCTCTTGTGCAAATTCAAGTGGCCAGGGTAGACAGCTGGCAAGTTTTTGTGCAAAAGCAGTTGCTTTTGCACAAAATCTTGCCAGTCTAGATGCACCCACAATGTTCTGCTTTGGTTAAGGATTTTCTAAAATAATACATGTAACACAAAAAGACCAGGAATTGAAGAGTTAATGCAACCTACACTCTACTCTGTCTCCCCCAAAACACACAGCTCACTGTTAGCACAGCCTCATGACAGAGAATGTATCTCATCAGTAAAATGCCACACGTTTAGCATCTCCTTCTCCAAATCCTATTTAAACCCTCTTCCCACTTTAGTCTTTACACAGTTCTGTTAAAACACATAGATTTAGGTTTGAGAAATAGGGTATGGTAAATTTTGGGAAGCAAAACCACTGTATTTTTCAAATAAAACAAAGAGGCTGACAATCTTTTTTTAGTGTAAACCAGAAACACAGACATTGTCTTAGCAATGACATTGCAATAGCTCCAGCCTAATATATTCCATGAGGCTTATGCATATATTTGAGTACATAATCTAGCATAGAAGAATTTGACTTTTTCTTTCTCGGGCATATTTAATAAGACAATTTTAAAATAACCATTTGAATTTTTTCTGTATTATTTTCCCTTTGCCATGTTATGAAAGAATCTCCTACAATTTGGTTCAGAAAAAATGATTTAAAATTTCAGAAATCATTATTAATTGTAAACTGTGGATTGTATCAAGAAACAAAGGGTTTAGTCAGTGCTGTCCTTTCTAAGCTGTCTTATGTTTGCTGCCATTTTGCTGACAAGAGAAATTACTTTCAACACCGTAAGAGCTTGAGCCTGAAGTAAGAGACAGAAACTATTTTTATTGTGTTTTATTCAGGAGAAAAGTCACTGCTACTATTTAAGTAAATATCCATTAAATCTAGTGTAACCCACACACCCACTGGGTGTGGTTCACTGCCCCATGTGGTGGCACTTAGACCATTTACGGAGCGAAAGAATAAGTTTTTTTTTATAGTCTTAGCTGAGAGTCAGCAAGCTTGATAGCTCAAGCTATAGAAGCTCATGTACTAAGCTCTGGAGGACCCAGTTGAGGTTCCGCCTATTGGTGTTACACTAGCTCAAAGTTCAGAAATGTCATCTTAAATATGTGACTAATTCTCGTCCCCAGTTACACAAGTTGAAATCCAGAGTCATGCCAATACAGTCAATGGAATGATCGGTGGAGCTGACAGCTTACAGAGGCAAGGTGGCGCCATGCACCCAGAAGGGGTGACAAAGAGGGCAAAAGGATGGAGCCAAAGGCAGTTGGCTCTCAGGGCTGCCCAGATTGTAGCATGGCGACCCACAGTGCTTAGTGCTGCCCAGAGCACATGGCAGAGTCCTCCAACAGTGATTTAAAGATCCTGAGGCTGCAGCTGCTACCACTGCTACTGTAGCAGCAGCCAGAGCCCTGAGATCTTCGAATCGCTGAGTCCTGAGTCACTTGTCTTCCTGTCTGCAGGCCTGAGAATAACTCTGGGTTTATGCCATATAACTGAGGGTTGAATTTAAACCTCAATACGCATGCTCTACTATTACCCGTGTAGTGTTATATGAGGATGATTTTGTCTGTATTCATCTGTTTGGGCTCAACCAAAACTTGGAATACTGTAGTTGTTATATAATTGCATTCCCTTACCCTATAATATGGATGTGTTTCAGGAGCAATTTCCTGTGGAGTGGCCTTTCATATTAATGGAGCACCATGATGTGCAACTTACAGACAGTTATATTGGTCACATACACTTACTAGAAGCATGCTATTCGGAAGTGCAGTAGTTAATAGCATTGGCAGATTTTTTGTAATAAGGCCCAGACACTCCAGTATAGATGAATGGAGACTGTTGTCCTGTTTTGCTGCTGGTGCATTGTTTTGGCTTATTTTATAGCCAGCTTAGCAAGTGAACAGTTTGCATTAATAGATTTTAAAAACAAGTATAAAAAGGGGGAAAACACTGTATATTTGATTACTGTTCTACAGATTGTTAACTTGAAATGATGCAACCAATAATTGAAATAAGTAAACACCCCAAGATTCCACAATACCCAAAACATCAAATAACTTTATTACCAGCATTGTTATGTAACTATCAGCAAAGGTTTTATGAAAGATGCTTTAAAATAATGGAACAGACACGCAAATTCATACAAATATTTGCCATCAGTTACTGAAGTGTGAAGCACTAAACACAAAACATTAACCACCCATCCATACTTAATTTACTAATTAGGATTTAAAATGGTAATTGCCTCCAATCCTTTATTTTTAAACCTCTGTGAAAGTAGAGTTATGTATTCCTAATACAAAGGGAGGAGTATAATTGGTAAATGTTTTTTTTTTCTAGGAGCTCAGTCCCGTAAACACACAATGAGATTGATCATGGCAGTAGGGTCTTTTTGCTTACTAGCAAATAAGAGCCAAATCTATATTCAGAAGGCATGTTATTAACTTTATATAGGACACTTAGTTGGAGTAAACTGACATCGCACCAGTGAAGTTCATTAAGTTACTCCAATTTAAAGCAGCTGAGTATTTGATACTTTATTTATAAAGTACTTTCCACCAATAGGAGATGCTGCTAAATTAAAGTATAACAACAAATATAACTATAAATGATGGTGGCATCTTTAAAAGGAAAGGAGGCTTTGTTCCAAAACAATTAACACAAGTCATTTCAACAATTTAAAAATAACTTCCAGGTTAAAAACAAACAGTGTATTTCTTCAATGAGACATTATGGAAAAAGCAACTAAACAATTTATAAACCAATTATTGTCTTCTGACCAACACTGGAGGAAAAAATAACTCATCACTCCCCAAGCATGGCATGCAGATCTGGGAACTGAACTTGCAGCAGATGATTGGAATGTGTCTCTGGTTAATGTCCAGAAAGCCACAATTCACAACAGATTTATTCAGATGCTGTACTACTTTACATGAAGATAAAACTGTAGGAATAATTTACTGTGAATTTTATCTTTCTTCAATCACTGTTTAGTTGGGAATAATTGCTTTAATATTAGTATGATTATTCAATTAACTCCGTGCAAAGATTGTATTATTCCAAAACTATGGCAAACAGTATAGATAGCCATCTATCCAGATTGCCCCAAATACCATATCCTAATGTTGTCGTCGTTGTTTGGAATCACATAATAAACATTTTCTTATTTCAAAGCCATGAATTTCCATTAGAAATGATTGGAAATCCAATGTTATCCTGCTTTTCTTATATCCGAGTAGATACTGTGATACTGTGGGACAAGATGGATCTAGGATGA